CAGGAATAAAGAGAAATAAAGAAAAACTTATCTATAGAGACGACTTATGAGATTTTTTGTACAGTGTAGGATCTTTGCTGTGATATAATGATAAAATATGTATGGAGGCTTATAAACTTACGTTTGATTTATAAATAGGATTAATTTATTCATTAAATAATGGTATCTAGTTTTTAATACATGATGATCTTTATGCTAGAATTAAGGAATAAAATTGACTGGTATCTTCTAAATTGGTATTTGAATCTACATGATTTTCTCACATCTCATTCTAACATTAATTTATAAAAATGATCATAATTTAATATATTAATGCATATAACATTTTAATTTATATAATATTACGAGGAAATATATCATAACACATTGTATAATATGTTATATTATACAATAGTAATTTTTGTGTGTATGTAATCATACAAATTTTATTATGAAAATATATCAAAGAAAGAAACTTATTTTAAATGTTTTGATTGTCATTTTATTCGTGAAAAAGCTTAACTAATATGTGATTACTCTCTCTTACATTTTCATTAAGTTATAGATAGCTGATGTGTTTACCAAACTTTATCTCGTCATCAAACTCAATTCATGGTTAACGAATTGATGCTTCCTATTCCACCTATATCAATTTGAGAGGGGATGTTTGTTGTAATATCTTGGTTAATTAATATGCAATTACTTAGATTTAGGAAGCTTTATTTATGAAGATTAATTTATATATAATTACTTGATATAGAGAGCTTGATTTAGTTGAGATTGATTGATACAAAATTGTAATTATGATCCAAGAGATATTGTAGGATATAATTATTTTGATACTTTACTATTTAAAGAGAAAATATCCTCAATTAATAAACATTCAAACTATTTTAACAAATGATATCATTCAATTTAATACTAATTTGAGTAATGAAGTATTCATGGGTTTTGATTTGTGTTTAGTGAGTAAGGTCATGGTTGTGGTCGATCTCTATTGTGATAATATGATAAAATATGTATGGAGACTTATAAACTTACTCTTGATTTATACATATATTTAATTTATATAGTAAAGAGTGGTATCTAGATTTTAATACATGATGATATCTATACTAGAATTAAGGTATAAGATTGATTAGGATCTTCTAAATATTGTATTTAATTCTACATGATTTTTTAACATCTCATTCTAATAGTAATTTATAAAAATTATCTTAATTTAATATATTAATGCATATAACCTTTTCATTTATGTAATATTACTAGGAAATATATCATAACACACAATATAATATGTTATATTATATAATAGTCTTATGTGTGTGTATATATATTATGAAACTTATTTTAAATGTTTCGATTATCATTCTATTCATGAAAAACTTAACTGATATATAATTACCCACTCTTATATTTTTATTGAGTTATAGATAACTGATGTATTTACCAAGACTATTTTGCCATTGAAATCAATTCATGATTGATGAATTGATGCTCTGTGTTCCACCAAAATCAATTTGAAAGGGATGTTTGTTGTAATATCTTGGTTAATTGATATGCAATTACTTGATTTAGAAAGCTTTATCTAGGAATATTAATTTATATATAATCACTTGATTTAGGGAGCTTGATTTAGAGAGATTGATTGATGGTCAAATCTTATATGGTTTCTTGTTGGTCTGTAAATTCTGTTGGTAGGAATAAAAAGAAAGAAAGAAAAGTGTCTACTGAGAGAAATTTTAAGATTTTCTATAAAGTATAGGATCTCTATTGTGATACCATGATAAAATATGTGTAGAGGCTTAAAAGCTTACTTTTCTTATATACATAAGAAGTTTTAAATACATGATGATTTCTATGCTAGAATTAATGTACAAGATTGAATAACATCTTCTAAATATGGTATTTAAATATCAAGATCAAATTTGATATAAAAATAAAGTATTAAGGGATGAAATTAAAAAAAACAAAATAATTTAATAAATGATTCAAAATCAAATACATTGCAATAAAAAAATGAGAATTTAATTTACTTTACAAACAAATAACTAGATTTTTTTTTTGTAATAGCCATCATGATTTTTTAAGAGGAGAGAGGGAGAAGAAGAGGGGAAAAACTCCTTCACGGAGCTCATCCACGTGTCTTCAAAGAACAAGCATCTCACCATCGTGACGGGGTGGTGAGATGCATCGAATGTCACCCTAGAAGGTGACATTCGATGCTGTGCAGTGCCACATGGGCCACTTAAAAAGCACGAGTATTACCCACTTACTAGTATATGCAACCCAACCACTTTTAAATTTTAATATATATATATATATATATATAAAATGACCTTTCAACTATAATAAATAGAGTTTATTTTTTAGGGATATTTAAGTAATTAAAATGTATAAAAAATATAAAAAACCCGAAAAGCCCCTAAACATAAGATAACTTTTTTTTAGGGTCATTTGGTAATTATACTACATAAAAAACATGAAATTACTAATTAACACCCTTCTTTAATGTAATTACTAATAAGCGCCATTGAAAAGAGTCATATACCCCTAAACCCAAGCTTGCTCACCAAGGGTAAAATAGTAGTTTACAATTCATAATAAAAGACTAATATGTTGTAGGTTTTTTTTTTTTTTTTTTGTAATATCCAAGCCACATAAAAATTAAATTTGTTTCACAATAATAGCATGGGAGATAGGAAAAGGAGAGGACTATTAATAAAACATTTAATGAATGTTCTTGAAAATTTGATTCATTTTCATTTTGTTTGGGGGAAAGGGACTCTAAACATTAAGTTTTTGAAAGTTGGATTTACCCCTCAAATACACTTTGCTTCGCCGGTGGACACTGCCTCCATAGAACGGGTAAGATTCTGATCATCCTCATAATTTTATTTTCTTGTGAAAACCACCATACCCAACATACGAAAATAAAATGGACTTGTTGGATTTACCCCTCAAATACACTTAGCTTTTCCTTTCTGTTTAACCATCTAGGTGGTGGCCAAGTGGTAAGGACTTGAGATCAAGGGGTTTGCTTCCTCTGTGGTATCAGGTTCGAGTCCTTAGTTGCTCATATGATGGCCACTGGAGGCTTACATGGTCGTTAACTTCAGGGCCCGTGGGATTAGTCGTGGTGCGCGCAAACTGGCCCGGACACCCATATTTAAAAAAAAGTTAACTTCAGAGCCCGTGAGATTAGTCGTGGTGCGCGCAAGCTGGCCCGGACACCCATGTTTAAAAAAAAAAAAAAAAAAATCTAACCTATCCTGTGAGGTAAGGGGTAAGAACTTGGGACACCCATGTTAATCTAAAAAAAAAAAAGTCTAACCTATCCTGTGAGGTTTGACAGATTGTTTACTTATAATCCTGCCAACATCATAAATGTCATTAACTGGTAACGCTGGAGTAATTAAGTGCGTGGACCTTTCAAAATATGAAACTTAATTTTCCGCATCCAATTTATAAGAAAAAAAAATACTTAAATTTAATTTTGAATCTGTGACAATTATTTATTTTTACTTTTATATTTTGCACAATAAATAAATTGTTTTTGCACAATAAAAAATCATCAAGAACAATTTATTTTTTCAAAACAATGTGTTTCTAGAAATTGTGATTGTGTTGCATGGATTTAATCTTCCAAGTTTATTTACTCTTTAATCAATTCATCTCTTTTCATTTTGAGTTGCTATCGTTAATGGTTTTTAGGTTATTGCCTTCCCTAATAATAACTGCTAATACAAAATAATTTATAGCATGGACAAGAAATTATATATATATATATATATGTTAGTGTGGTGTACTTATTATGTATTTTCTCTTGGTTTAAAATAATTGTTGACCTGTAAATCTGTAGATTCATTATTGATATTTTTTCACTTATTTTTTTGACACTGTAATGCAATTTATTGCTTATCAAGAAAAAAAAACATCTTATAATGAAAAATATTTAATTACCATATAATTAACATGCATAGTTAATATGGAAACTTGTTAGAAGTTAATTATTAGGTTAATTGAACGAATTCAAAGAGCATCAGGTTTAATTGCACGAATTCAAATAACACAAGGGTTAATTAACTACTATGAAAAACTTTTTTTTTATCCAAACGCAAAGATAAATTTAGAGGTTTTGACTTTCAGTATATTTACTTCTTCTCTTACCAAAAATACCCACACAAATCACGATGATAACATCAAGTTGATTTCTTCTACACACAAAGACTACTAGTGGGGGAATAAACTGTCAAAAACAATGTATTTTTGAGGTAGTAATAAATGGTAAGGGATTTTAATTTGCATAAAAAACTAAGATTATTTTTGCAATATCTTGAAAACACTTAATAAATGGTAAGGGATTTTAATTTGCACAAAAAACTAAGATTATTTTTGCAATTTTTGCAATATCTTGAAAACAGTAAAACCTACCATGTTGGGAATTAAAAAAAAAACAAACTATAAGAGTGGAACAACAACAACATTTAATTTTCTTAAAGAAATTTGCATCAAAACTATGGTTTAAAATAAAATTAATTACCAGGACAACACTCCTTTTCTCCCCAAAAAATATGCTACTTTTTTATTTTTATTTTTTATCAATACCAAAATATATGCTATATTAATAACATTCTCTCAAATAATTTTCTATTTTACTCCTTGTTAAAAACTTGTAATTTTATTTCTTCTTTTCAACTACTTCTGATCTTAAGAAAAAAAATGCAAATTAGTTAAAAAAGAATATTTGGCAAAATATTTTGGGATTGTAAAGAGAATATCGTCTGTTAGATGGGGGGATAATATCTCAGAGAGATGGAAATACACCCTCGCGCGCACACATGTCGGTTCATTGACTATCATTTATGTTGCCAGCCACCATCCTTCTTAAAAAAACTCAATATCAAGCCTGGTGTTCCTTCTCGATTTTCCTCTACCATCAAACCAAAACAAGCACGGAACACTAGCATCAAAATATTTTTTTTTGTCATCCATCTCATTTTGATATTACTTGTATATTAATGAAACAGTTGGGAATGGGAAGTGCTGTGGAGACACTATGTGGGCAAGCATTTGGTGCACACAAATACGGAATGCTAGGGTTATATCTACAAAGATCAACCCTTCTCCTCTCTCTCACTGGGATCCTACTCACAATCATTTACATCTTTTGCAAACCCATTTTGGTTTTCCTTGGGGAATCACAGGAAATCGCATCAGCAGCAGCAGTTTTTGTGTACGGCCTTATTCCACAAATTTTTGCATATGCGGTAAACTTTCCAATACAAAAGTTTTTGCAAGCTCAAAGCATAATGGCCCCTAGTGCATATATATCAGCAATCACTTTGGTAATACATATTCTGTTAAGTTGGCTTGCTGTGTACAAAACTGGGCTAGGGTTGTTGGGTGCATCTCTAGTGTTGAGTTTGTCATGGTGGATCATTGTGCTGGCACAATTTGTTTATATAATTAACAGTGAGAAGTGCAAGCATACATGGGATGGTTTTGCTGTGCAAGCCTTCTCTGGGTTGTGGGGATTTTTTAAGTTATCTGCTGCATCTGCTGTGATGCTGTGCTTGGAGACATGGTACTTCCAAGTTCTTGTTCTCATATCTGGGTTGCTAGAGAACCCTGAGTTGGCTTTGGATTCGCTCTCCATTTGGTATGCAAGAGAGATAATCAATTCTCGTTTTTTCTTTTTCTTCAATTCCACACACACATACAGAGTTAGATAGTTAGAACTTCTTTATCTGTGATAGATACAAATAAAATAAAATAAATTAAAAAAAATCTTCAAAATAAACCTAAAAAAATATTTAAAAAAAAACAAGTAAAAAAAAACTTTACAAATATGGGCTCCGGTAAGGAGCTCAAGCCCATGTACCAGGAACATGGTCTCAGGTAAATAGCCCGAGCCCATGCTCCCTTTATGGGCACATAGACGCCTAATGCATGAGTGCTTGTGTGCTCGAGCTGTCATGCTCGAGTCTAACATGTTTGCATTCAGGCCTCCGTTTTCACATCTTGTGGGCTTGGGTTGTCTCACCCGATCCCAACATGTTTAGGTCCAGGCAAGGTGCTAGGACCCACTTTCACCTCTAATGGATTCAGACATCTTGCTTGAGCTCAACACTTTCTAGAGAATGTTTTTCGGGTCCGAGCTCAACACTTTCTAGAGAATGTTTTTTGGGTCCCATGAAAGTTTTAGGAAATTATCTCAGCTTTCTAGGAAAAAAATATTGAGGTTATTTGGATTCTAGAACTCGAGATATGAGTTGAACACTGAACAATGTCTAGGCTGCATGATAGATTCAGACTCCTATATTGTTGCTAAGATGTCGCACGTCACCCGTGCGGCATCGGCTGATGATTTTTTTGTTTGCATTTGCTTGATTTGATTCATTGGGAGTCGCCACCTATTATTTCATTGAAGGTTACTAGGAAACCCAAGTGTATTGGTTTTGTCAGAGATTCATGGGTAAGGGACTAGTTGTAGTTAGGGAAGGTATTAGTACCCCTAACACACCTTACCCGAGGTAAGCTGTTTCGTGACTTTGATATGTTAAAGAAGTTTTAATAATTGTCTTTTCATCGGATATTAGAAATATGACTTATGTTTAAGTTCATAATTCTTAACCGTGAGCAAATCAAAATATTAAATTCTTCTTTATTCTTTACAATTTTGTTATAAATAAAAAAGAAATATCCATAAAACAAATACAAACACACACATATACTTTCACTATATTTCTTTTCTTTTGTCACATCAACACTACAAATAATAAAAATTCATAACTAAAAACAAAAAAATTACATGAAACAATTTAAAATTTGCAAAATAGGCCCTACAACTCAAGGAATTGTAGGGGAGTCCTTCTGGACCAAAAAAACAGTGGCGGCACGTCTCCTTCACGCGCCGCCGCACAAAACACCAGAAAAACCAGGGTTAGTCACAACTTCCTCCCTTTTTCCCGTCCTCGCCAGTGTGACCTGCAAAACACCCAAAAACGCAACAAGCAGTCGATTTTAGTTTTTCTTTCCTTTGTTTTTAGATCTGGATCTCTTTCTCTTTTTTTTCTCCGTTTCAGATTGGCTCCTCTACAGATCGGTTCTTTTCCTTTTTTTTTCCCCTTCTCTGTTTTAGGTGGTCGGCTGTTTGATCAAGAGGACTGCCGGCTGCTAGGCTTTTTTTAGGTCTGGCTGGCGGAGATGGAGAAGAGATTTGCTGTCGCCCGCAGCTGCTGGAGCTGCTGTGGAGATGGGAGAGGTGGCTAACGGTGTTAAGGCGGAGATATCACTGGGGAAGGCCGGTCTGTGGTTCTGGTGATGATAGGGATGACTCTGTGGGCGCTGCTACGGCTGACGAAAAGGAACTTGTCCGATGTGTGCAGAGGCGACTGACTTCAAGAGGTGAAGAAGAAGAGCAAACCAGCTAGGAGAGGAGAGGAGAGGATATCGGGAATGTTGGCTATAGTGGAGGGAAATGGGGCTGCACGGGTTAGATGAAGGGGAGAGGTTGCTGGTCTTATGAGATGGGAGGTTGTGAGCAGGGGAAGAGGAAGATGGTGAGCGACGGCTTGGGAGAAAAAATTGGCCAGCGAGGGGGGTGGCTGCTGGCTTTGAAAGTGATGGTTTAAGGCTAAGTTTTTTTTTTTTTTTCCTCCAATGTTTTAAGATTCTTGTTTCTTATAAATTTTGATTTTTCTTGTTTTTTCTCGTATTTTTTAACCATGAGCAATGTCAACGTCAACTCATTGAGAAAAATCAATACTTTTAAAAATGACGCATAAAAAGTCGAACGCGTTCAAAAAATAGTTGAAAATTTAAATTCTTTTTTAGATGACATTGAAAATGCTAAAAACGATGCAAATATATTAAAAATATATTTTTTGGATTTGTTTTCACTATTTTTGGATTTTTTTTTCAAAAAATTAACAAAAAGATGTGTCAAAAATTAGGTAGCAACATAAGATTTGGACTTTTAAACAGCAAAATTGAGTCTTGTCTTCCCATAAAAGTTTTAGGCCCATGTCTTAACTTTTCATCCATATAAAGCAGACCTAAATATGAAATCTATAGTTCTAGATATGACCCAATTACCTAATAATGTTCCAGTTTGGACTGCACCAACATCTCTTTTTTAAGATGGGCCCTCTCTTTGTCCTTTCAATTTCAATACTTTAACTCATTAATCAACTTTCATTTATGTGATAAGCA